CTCCTGACAAAAACTCAGCAAACTAGGAAATGTAGAACTTCCTCATCTTAATGTTTTAAAATCTACAGAAAAAACCTACAGCTACCATTAGACGTGATGATGAGAAACGAGATGTTTTCCCACCAAGATCAAGGACAAGGAAGCGATGTTCCCTCCCACCACTCCCACTGAACATCACACTGTCAGTCCCAGCTAGTGAGACAAGGCAAGAAAACTAAAGGCATACACACTGGGAAGGAAGAAATAACACTGTTTGCAGATAATAGGATTATCTATGTAGAAAATCCCAAAGAATCAACAACAAAAATACCCTCCTGAAACTAATAAGCACTTATAGCAAGTTTGCAGGATACAAAGTTAATATACAAAAGTTACTTGCTTTCTTATATACCAGTAATAAACAATTGGTATTTGAAATTAAAAACACAATACTATTTATGTTAGCACCAAAATAAATGAAATACTTCGAAATAAATCTAACAAAAATATGTACAAGATTCACATGAGGAAAACTACAAAACTGATGAAATAATCAAAGAAGATCTAGAGAAATAGTTATTCCATGTGCACAAAGAGGAAGACTTAATATGGTCAAGATGTCAGTTTTTCCCAACTTTACCTATTGACTCCACACAATCTCAGTCAAAATCCCAGCAAGTTATTTTGTGGGTACTGATAAACTGATGCAAAAGTTTACATGGAGAGGCAAAAAGCCCAGAACAGTTCATACAATATTGAAGGAAAAGAACAAAGTCAAAGGACTAATACTACCTCACTTGAAGACTTACTATAAGCTACAATAATCAAGACAATGTCGTATTGGTGAAAAAACAGACAAATAGGTCAATGGAACAGAACAGAGAGCCCAGAAATAAAGCAACACAAACATAGTCAATTCAACTTTGACAAAGGAACAAAGGCCATTCAGTTAAGAAAGGGAAGTAATTTCAATAAATGGTGCTGGAATAACTGGACACCACATACAAAAAAAAAATGTAAACAAAACCTTTAAACCTTTCACAGATATTAACTCAAAATAGATCATAAACCTAAAAGTAAAATGTTAAACTATAAAACTCCAAGAAGATAACAGGAGACACCTAGATAGCCTTGAGATGGCAATGGCATTTTAGACACCAAACCAACGATCCATGAGAGAAATAACTGACAAGCTGGACTTCATTAAAACTTTAAAAACTAAAATTTTCTTCTATGAGAAAGGAATTGTCAGAAGAATAAAAAGACAAGCCACAGAACTGGGAGAAAATATTTGCAAAAAACTTATTTGATAAAGCACTAGTATCCAAAATACAGAGAACTCTTAAAACTCAACAGTAAAGAATTAAACAATCCAATTTTTAAAAATGGGCAAGAGATCTGAACAGACACCTCATCAAAGAAGATGCACAGATGGCAAACAGCATTTGAAGATACTTAACATCATACATCATTAGGGAACTGCAAATAAAAAGAACAATGAGATGCCATTATGCACATTATTAGAATGGGTAACATACAAAACACTGACACCACCAAATGCTGGCAAAGGCGTGGAGAAACAGGAACTCACTCATTGCTAGTGCACATGCAAATTGGTACAGACACTTTGAAAAAACAGTTTGGCAGTCTTACAAAACTAAACATACTCTTATGATACAATCCAGCAATCACGCTTCTTGGTATTTACCCAAAGGAGTTGAAAACTTAAAACTGCGAAACTCGCACATGAATGCTTATGGTGGCTTCATTCATAACTGCCAAAACTTGGAAGCCACCAAGATGCCCTTCAGTAGGTAATGGGATAAACTGTAGTACATGAAAACAATAGAATTGTCATTAAAAAAAGAAAAAAATCTATCAAGCCAGGAAAAGACATAGAGAAACCTCAAATTCATATTGTAAAATGAAAGAAGCCAATCTGAAAAGGCCGCATACTGTATGATTCCAACTATATGACATTCTGGAAAACTATGGAGACAGTAAAAAGATCAATAGTTGCCAGGAATTCAGGGGAGGGAAAAATGAATGATTAGTTAGAATACAAGGGATTTTCAGCACAGTGAAAGTATTGTGTGTGATGCTATTAAAGTATTGGGTTGGCCAAAAAGTCCATTTAGTTTTTCCATAAAATAAGACATTTTCATTTTCACGAATAACTTTATTCTTTTGATATTTTGACTATGTCGATTATCTCCCGCTATTGGCTTCTAGTGGGTAGAGGCCAGGGGCGCTGCTAAACATTTTCCAATGCAAAAGACAGCCCCATAGCAAAGAATTATTTGGCCAAAATGTCAATAGTGCCAAGAAACTTCACAAACCATTTTTGACAAGTTTGATCAGTCACAGCGCCTTTCATACACTGCACAAATCTTTTAATGCATTTCAGTTGTGTGCTTTTGCCTTTCTTGAAATAATAAAACATAATACATCAAAAATGTTACGTATCCTCTTCCATCTTCAATACTAAAATGGCTGCACAAAAATTCACCAATTATGGTAAGTTTTCTAAAATGCACGCTGATTTGACAGCTGTCACAATACAACCTAACAGAATAGTTTCAAATGAAGTTAAAGAAAACTAAGCCATTGTACAAAAAAAACTAAATAAAATTTTTGGCCAATCAAATAGATTTGTCTGTATCATTAATTATTTGTCAAAGCCCATAAAATATACAACACAAAGAGTGAATCTATGTAGACTATGGACTTTAGTTAATCATAATATATTAATACTGGCTCATCAATTTTAATAGCACAAGATGTTAATAACAGGGAAAAATCTAAGGTGGGGGGGTAGGAACTCTGTACTTCCTGCTCAATTTTTCTATAAACTAAAACTGCCATCCTCAAAATAAAGTCTATGAATTGTTTAACAAGCAAACCATGTTGATTATAAAAAAAATAAAATAATAAAGTCTAACATTAAGAAGAGGAAATAAATCTTTAAAATTCATGATACTCTTGGAATTCTGCTGAGAACAGAAAGCCAACTGAGGTTTTGGTAAGACAAGTAGCTTTTACCCTGTGGCATTAACATAAACTCTGGACAGCTCTCGCATAACCTCTCATTTGGCTGCCCCCAAATGGTTACGGTACGTAGCAAGATTCTACTACTAGCAAGCTCTGAAATTACCTTCCTCATTCACAATTCATTTTAACAGTAGGCTCTGGAAAGCCTCCCTTGCTTTCAGATTCAAAAAGCAATTGAATTAAACATATTTTTTAAAAATGTTCTTGAAGACGAATTCCTATTTCGCTTTTATTAAATAATAGCTCTCTCTTTTAATCTCTCCACCACCCAGCAGAATTCGTAATTCCATCTCATCTGCTCCCACAAAACTTAGTTCCTACTTCTAGTGATACGTTTCTCACTGCCAGCCAGCCCAGTACTAATCTAGTGTGTCCTCACACAGGGAGCCCCTGAGTTCAGAGACCACCACGGTCATGTCACGCTAAGTCCTCATCCCAAGAGGCATTACCAATCAAAATGTTTGCCGCTGTAAGTGGTGGATGCCTCACTCAAACTAACTAGCTAACCTGCCAGGAAAATGAAAATGGAGTTGCTGGCTTTAGGTGCTACAGAATCCAGCACCGTGAGTTGCGTGTGTTGTGTGTGCTGCGTGTTGTGTGCATTGTGTGTGTCTGCCTCTCTCTCCCCACTGCATTTCCTCCAGCTCCCTGCCCTGATTTCCTGAGTCGACTTCCTTCTCAGAAAGGCGTTCCCTAAGTCGTAGCAGTCAGAGTAACCAGCAGCATCAGCTTCACAAACCCACAAAAAGGAAAATGTCTTTACCACAATTCCAGTGAAAATAGGACTCCTCCATAAACCGATCCTTGCGACCCCGACTAGCCAGGTTTATGTCACGTGCCCATAACAGAGACAGTGGGGTCACCTCCTCTAACTACATAGGCTGAAAAAAAGCAAGGGTGGCTGCCCAGGGAAAATCAAGGTAATCTGTTGAAGCAGGAGGAGAAGGGTGCTAGGTGGTCAAAGTCAACAGACATTCGTCACTTCACAGGTTCTCAAGAGTGCTGACTCACATCCTTCTAGTGAGTATTTATTAACTCCTTTTAATGTCTAATGCTGAGTTTCACACTGAATATCCAATAGAAAATGTTTGCCGTGTTCATCCCTGTGACACAATACACTTTCTCAAAATGGCTTTCTTTTCCACCTTTTCATGCGTTTCAGTGGCGCTTTTACCTTTCTTGAAATAACAAAGCATAATACACCAAAAATGTTACGTACCCTCTTCCCTCTTCAATACTAAAACAGCTGCACAAAAATCCACCAATTTTGGTAAGTTCTTTTGAAAATGCACGCTGACAGGACAGCTGTCACAGTGCAACCAAACAGAATCGCTGGCCCCATTTGAAGGGGCCATGCATTTCATTCTCCTAGGCCACTGTTTTGCACCTATTTGTATTCCTGTTACTTTTGGGATATTTCTCCCCTTTTGTCCTATTGGACTATCTTAATGCCAAAAGCACACTGAAACCAAATGTGTTGCCAGCTTTTGTGTGTGGGAAGATAAAAGTAAAATCTTGTCAAGCAAATTCAAGAAGTACAGACAGATGTGCCCTGCCCCCAACATGGCAGGTCCCCATGATCCACACTTCGATGTGAAATCCCAAATGGGGGCAAGTCTCTGAAGGTGCCAGTGCCAGTTCACGCTTTCTCAGGGACACTGCTTCCTCTCCAAAGCAAAGCCAGGATCACCGAGGTGGTTAGGGGCGGCCTCTGGTTGTGGCCTCTCGCGGATGTGCTCGAGCGCTCCCTCTCTTTCCTGGCACAGGAGAGGGAGAAGGGGGACAACGATACACAGTCCACGGACGTTTATCGGGGCACTGCATGTGCCACGTATCTGATGCTAGGAATCTCTCAAATAACTGGAATGATTATTTCGGGTTGTCTCAAAAACACTGTATGGAATCAACAAAACAACTTTTCCCTATCTGACGCAAGCCACTTAGTCCAGCCTCCCTTATCTTATACCAACCTGATTTTGCTTAAGTTATGGTCTGTCTCAGGCTTTCACAGCAGCTTTCTTTTATGGATTTTCCATCCAGCAAACGTTTCTGTTCCACAGCTGGGCAGAGCCAACCACAGCATGCTTGGCTACGGACCGCAGCAGCTCACCCAAGCAGCTCCGACCTGGAGGGGCAGAGGCCAGAAGCCATTAGAAGGAAGCAGATACAGAAACTCTCTCTCTCTCTCTCTCTCTCTCTCTCTCTCTCTCTCTCTCATATATATATATATGTTTGGCAGGATAACTCCAAACATCTCCTAAGTGTTTAAAATCCTTAATGAGCTCAGACAACAGCGTATAAGGTGCCCTAAAGACAAGCATGGGCTATTGTGTGGGAAGGATTAAAATATTTAATCATTATTGAAAAGGCTTGGTCAAATGACTGTGCTCTGTTTGTGGAAAATTTAAAAGCCAGATGTTTTAATTAACGGCAGAAAACACAAGCTACAACTAAAATTTCATGAACACATTGATCTGCCCTGTGGAAAACCACAGGAATGTTCTGGCAAGGCTCAGTCAGAATTCTTGGGACACAGAGGGCTGGAATCATTCCCCTCAGGAACTTGAACAAAAAATTAACTTGCTCAATATGTTTTTTAGAAAAAGTAAAATGAAACCCAGATTTAATCTCAGTCAAATATAAAAACATTTTAAGACTTCAAAAGGCACCACCAAAAGACACATAAGGGAAAGGTCATAAAAAAATTTCAATATGGCTCAGGATTTAGAATGTATTTTCAATGCAAAATGAATGGTGCAACAGGAAATTTTAGACACTAAATAATCCAAGGGAAAAACTAATCATCTTTCATTTCCTAATCAAGGAAAATGATATATGAAAGCAACATTCAATATGTGAATCATAAATGTTATCAAATGTAAAATATAGTCAAGCAAAAACTAAAAGAAGCCTTTTAACTCTCCTACTTCATGCCAAGCCTCTGGCCTGGCCCACGCTAGCTACCATGCTTCAGCTTGAAGGCTCACGGCAGCCAGAAAACCAGCGTTAAAATAATGTATGTTGCAGCAAGCGATTCGGTGCGGAAATCTAAAAGGAGGGGATCTTATAAAAGCAATTAGTGAACAACAACAAATAGATGAGGAAGTCTTCATTTGTTAATTATTGTAATAGTTATGATAACATCTATACCTGCTAAATTTGAAAGCCTATTAGAGAAGGAACAGGACAAATGTTATTTTCAGATCCTGGGTCCATAATTCTATTTCTGTAAGTCAAAGCAGACCCTGTCACAAGTGTGCCAAGCATAATATTACATTAATCTCTACCTTCACTTGAAACTTGAGTCCCAAAAATAAGTTAAAGAAGAATGCGGCAAGTAAAAAGCAAGATGTCAATTTTTATAAGTATGGTATGATCCCAGTTTTGTTCTACAGTGTGTATAATCCAAAGTCACCACAGTTTGAACAAAAGCTCTTTCTGGGTCATGGGATTAGAAGATATTTATATCTCCTTCTTTGTGTGTTCCAAATTTTCTATAATTAATATGTATTACTTATTAGAATTAGAGTATCTTAAATAAGGTTTTTATTAAATACTGTGAGCATACAAGTCTGAAATAAAGTGTGATACTAGATTAGCCTGATCTAGTAGCCTCCCCCTTATCCAACAATAAGGGCAAATACATTAAGTCCTCCTTACTGAATGCTGTAATTCTTAACTTAGAAGTTCAAAACCCAAGTGTCCAATAACACTTCCAGGGCTCACAACAGTACTTTCCCAGAAATAAGAAATTTTTCTTTGTTATTCTGTGAACTTGCCACAAAGAAGCAAAAAGAGCATGGTCATTTCCCTGTCTAACTAACGCATCCGAAAAGAGCACCTCCTGGTGTTACAATTACACAGAGGCACGGCCCTCAGTGAGCGCGGCTACACCCGTTTCTGATACTCTCAGCATCTCAGAAAACACAAAACACAACGGTGGAATCTTAAGCACTCGGGGACTTGGCAACGCAGAACCCCAAGAAGCCCAACTCCATCAGTTTACAACAAGGACACTGCTGTCCAGAAAAGTCAAATGTCTTCCCCGAGGCCACACAGCCAGCACGGCAGAGATGAAAGCCCAGATCACCTGCCTCCGCTTTGACCAAGTGCTCTTTCCATCACAACATCTCGGCCCTCACTGTTCGAAACACAAGTTTGTATGAACCACCCACACATGTTAAAGGCATATCAGCAAAACCAGAAGAATAAGACAGAGATGTGTTCCACCAAAAATGAAATGCATGCAGGAAAAAAAAGCCAAGACTCAACTGCAGGCTAAAAAAGACTACTCAAACGCGCTCAGTGGGGAACAATGGGTGCAGTGTGCTCCGGCAGCAGGTGTCCTGAGCAGAAACTGCCTATCACCCGGAGAGCTCTCTGGTCCCAGGACTTGCTCTGTTGATAACAGCACATTCCCACTGCTCAAAGCGGGACAAAAGATTTTCAACAAGATAAAACTGCATTTGCACCAAGCTACCGACAGAGATCGGCAGGATGCATGCCCACCCCAGCATTGGAAATTAGTGATGTATAGCATCTTCCTTCCAAAAGGACCCAAGTCTTAGAGGAGAGTTATTGGTGATTCCAAAAATTAAAAAAAAAAACAGGGGTCACTAAGAACTAAAATAAAATAATCCAGATGCCTAATATCTTACATCTGATGTGATTTAGAGTAAGCAGGATTTTTCTCTTTTCTTCTAAGGTATTCATTTGAAATATTGCTCACCTCCAGTTCTTTCTTAGCATCTACCTCGCATCCACACCACACCCATCAGAAATCTAAGAGTCTCACAAAATGTGAATAGGCTGCAAAGAAGGGAAGAGAGGAGGACAGATGGCAATGACAAACTCAGAGCCGCTCCCTGAAAGGCCTTTATTGAGCTCACTTCTCTCGTCACCCTTGCCTACTGTGCAGCAGGACAAAGGCACGAACTGTGAAGCTGCTAATAAAAAAAGCCGCGTCGAGGATGATGTGATCTCGCTTTGTAAGAGCCAGAACAAACACAATGGCCGTGCCCCGCCTCCTCTGAGAAGTCAGGCACCTGACCAGAAAAGAAAACATGTTTTTTCCTCCCCAAACTGCTCCTTGCGTCCCCAATACATAGGGTGGGCAAAAGTAGGTTTACAGGTGAGAGTATGCAAAAGTTTATTCTTGTATTATTATTTAATTATTGTATTATTTTCCATACAAACAACAGTAAACCTACTTTTTGCCCCACCCTCTATATTTCCATGGTTGGATCCTGGAGGAAAGACCATATTGTTAGTTTATTCCCATCTATACCTCAGTTCTAATGCTAATGTTAATATCCATGGCAGGCGCAAGGGATTAGGTTCTTGTTGCTATTTCACAATGAAATTAAAGCTTTGTGGTGAGTATTGTTCAAGTACCTCTTTAAAGTCACTGGTAAGGTAATGGCAGCAACTGTAAATCTAGCAGTCTGGTAGAATGAAGTCCAACCTACTAATCAAATTGAGTATAATCTTACTGAAGTCACCAAATTCTCTTTCTCCGTAGAGATGAGACAGAAATTAGAATTAGATCAGATTCACAGATTTTGCAATCCGCTCTTGCTTAGAACCTTCGCTGTTGTTTGGTTTCGGCTTCAGTGAATGCCTTTGGGAAAATGTGGTGCCACCGTGTCAAAATCTGAAATGTTACCACTGTGTCAAAATCGTACATGTTTGGCCAGCATTTTATTTATTCTATCCTAATGCCACAGGGAAAGTTTCTCCCTCATAGGGACCAATTCCAGAAATACCAGCCAAGCCAACTCAACGCTTCTGAAATTCCTATCTCAAAGTGACCAGGGCACCAGGCAAGAATATACTGAAGAACATTCCTCTCATTGCTTTGGAAATATGGTTTTAAAAACTTAGATTCACAGTATCAACAAATTTACATTTTTAAATGGTTGAGAGAGGAGAGTATAAAGTTGATGACATAATGAGGGCTACGTTTTTTTCTCCCCAAAAGGATCTATCACAGGTACCCATCACAGGCAACGTAAAAGAATCTATTAATGAGTAACCCAATGTGGCACCCAACAAATTTTGTGGCTGATGATGAAGACATGGCAGTTGAGAAAAGGTTTCGCATAGTAACTTCCCTGTCATACTCTGAGGTAAAGAGATTTTCAACTGGAGAGCAGAGTGGAAATGTATACTTATTTAATGTTTTAAAGACTAAAGAGAACAAGGATGAAGAAATTAGCACATATAGAAGTTATGTTCCCAGTTCTGCTACTTACGTCCCAAAGCTTTCTGGAACGACTAACTTACTCTCTTTAACCTCTGTTCCCTCATTAGTAAAACAGGTGATTCTATCAGCCAACTTCATGGGATTGTCAACTGATGAAACCAAATGCTGGGGGGAGTGGGGTATAAGGGGACTAAATGGTAATGGAAAAAATAGAATAAAGATTATACATTTTTAAAAAAAATAAGTAAATAAAAATAGTATAGAAACTTTTAAGGCACTATGTATTCAGTCAACAAATACTTACTAAGAAACTGCAATGCTGCCAGGCATGGCACTGTGGGTACAATCCTAAGGACCTAGGTAAGGGACGCAGTGTAATTTGTAAGAGGCACAGGTTGCAGTGGGAACATGTAGGCAGCCTCTAATGCAAACACCAGACAAATATCTGGTGGTGGCCTTTATTGAACTTCTGGTTTTTACTTCTGGTTGTCTCGTTGTCAGCTCATTCATTTAGCACATTTTTTACGGAACTCTCATGATGTGTCAGGCACTATTCTAGGTGCTAGGGATTTAGCACTGAACAAAATTTCTGCCCTAATGGAGCTGACATTTCAGCCATTCCTCATCCATGTGAAATGTAAAATACATAAACTAAATAGATGTAAGCAGCAAAGCTGCTTCAGCTGCAATACAATGATTTAACCAAAATATCACCACACGAGAATTAAAAGGCATATTCTAATTGATCTAAGTACAGTAAGCATTTTATTTATTTTAATATCTAGGCCACATTTTACAATATTTATATAACTGCCATCATATAAAAGGTGCTGTTAATTTTGAGGAATTACAGTTTGTGTATGTGTTGGCATGGAACAGAATACCCCCCTGTACCATTCCCACCCCTCCCCACCCCAAAG